GTGCCAAACACAACAGGCTTGTTCAAGATGCATGGGCAGCATGCAAACCGATCGGCACACGACACCAAAGCACCGCGAAAGCGATCCAAAAGCATAAAGTGAGTCGTCTACTTTTCAATCACTCCTGCGGCACACCGACCGGTCCTCGCAGCGCCGATGCAGCCCGAACAAGCCTAAACACACCATCAACAATGGCGGACGTTGCATCGCTATCGATGTTCATGGCTATGCGAACCTACATCGTCATCCAAACACGGCAAATTCAACGTGTTCGTGTTTAGCTGCTATTTCAAAAATGTCAGTCAAAAGTTTGTTCATCTTGTTGGTCACGGTATCCCCACCCCCAGTCCCTGTCCCTGACGCAAGCAGTTCTTACTTCTAGACCAGCAATGTTTTGGTGCTACTTACGAACCACTTTGCCTGGTTCGGAGCTGGTGCTTTGGGTGTCGAAAGACAAAGAACCAATTTGAAACTAGGCTCTGGCTACGAACCTGCACTCAAACTGCCTTGGTGGAAAAGGGGTACACGAAAGCATCTTTAAACTTTTTCTGTTCACTGAAGACATGGGGATGGGGAGTGGTTTTGTTTTGTATTTGGGAGAACATTCTGCCTTTCTGATCTGCCATCCAGACGATAGAACAAAACCCAATTCAAATCTCTCAGAGCTCAGTTATGTTTACTGTGGTTGGATAATCAAACACTTCTGGACATCAAAGCAATGCTTCAGACCCAGGGGAGTCTGCATAACCTCTGCAATTACCTTCACTCACACACAGCCCTTAGGACATGTAACTTATAGCTGGAGATCATATAGACAGTGATAAAATCAGACTGTCACGACTTTACGATGGTATGGAGCAACACAATGCACCCAACCAAAACTGAAAGAAACTGATGGTTAAACATCTCAGTAGATTGCGACATGGCCCTGACATTATATAACCATAAACAACATCTGGAAGCACTTCAAATATAACAGGAACTGAAAACTTTGGGCATAATTAAACAAAAAAAAAGACAAATCATAACTTCCGTGATTCCTTCTACCTGCCCTCACAAGTCTGGAAAAGAAATGTGGCCACCCAACTAATTGTGCTGACTAATAATTTTTGCAGTGAGCTCCTCATTAGCTTCTCGCATAAGGGCTCTTTCCCATGGCTGAGTCAAGTTCTAGTAAAATGAGATCACCTGGTTCCAGGAATCACCGAGGCCCCCACACTAAGCCCAGAGTCCTTGTGTGAGAACTGCCTCTAATAGTCATTAAGTCGAATAGGTTCAATGAGAAGACTCTAATAGTCAATTAGAACATTCTAGAATAGAATGGATAAATTATGTAGAAAGAAAGTTCTCAGTAGCCTGAGGCTACAGGTTAAGAGAGACCGCAGTTAAAAAGTCAATCTGTGTGACTGTTTAAATTGCATTAATGCTCAGCCAATGGTTGCTGGAGCTTTGTGCTATTTTTTTTTTTAAGTTGAAAATAATGTTAGTTATAAATTTAGATCAGCACCATATAGTACATAAATAAGAGTTTAAACTAGTAGTAATATGGTAGTGGTAGCGCTGCTTGCCTTTGCACAATTTGCCACCACAATGTTAAATTGTGTGTGGTTTCCAGGACATTATGTGGTTGCTAAGGAGTTTTGAATGGTTTTTGGGTGGCTGTTTACTGGTCCAAGTCAATAGAGTCTGTGTCTAAAGACAAAATCACATTAGCAAAATTCCAGAAAATGTTTGCAGACAAAAAGGTCTATTATTCACAGTCAACATGCACTCTTGTATCTGAAGTCACGGTTTGTTAATGTGGCGAATTTTCGTGAAAAACCTGAATGAGAAACCTGCTTGGGTAAATTCACGAATCACACCGATTCCTATTAAATTAACTGGATTTTAACTGTGAAATTTTAGCAAGCAACAGTAAATGTGACCACACTTTTATATTCTCTGATATTTAGGTACTTAAAAGTCTATTTTTTTGCCCATTTTATTGTCTACCAGGTGTAAAATCATAAGTCAAATATGAGTTACAGATCCTGGCCCTGCAAGAGAAAGTCAGTACACAAGATTCCCATGAATAACTTAGAGTCCATGTGGGCCTTAACTGTATGTGTGGCCTAGAATTACATTCAAATTAGATGAGAAGAGGGGATTATGGTACTGTTATAGCAAAGTCATCCGAGTACAGTAGAAAAGACTCCTAGTTACAGAATAAACCACTACTAAACTCAGTAAGTAGGGCATCAGTATCCAAAGCAGAGGTTAACAAGAAATTCTGAATGACCACTATTTTTAAAGCAAATGTATTCTATTCGCTACTATTTTTCTGCTGCTTTGTAATGATTAAATTAAACATTTTTAAAGTAGTTATTGTGATTCGAATTCATATTGCTATGCTGTCCTTTTATGAGATATTTTATAACCTTGAGCATACAAAGACGCCACTAAGATTAAATAATTCATAATGCCAAGAATGCTGGGAAGCGATTTCTTAGAGCATGCTCTACTTCCATAGACTTCCTGTGAACCCCACCTCTGTTACTTAATCAAACAGGAAAGCTGAACAGGACCTTGAGAGTGTGTGTGTACTTGTTCAGACTTTCAAGTGTCATTTTTGTACTGTGGGAGGCTCATTCCTGATTCCGGGTAAAGATAGCAGAGAATTATTCAGGAAGGGTGGGAGAGACAAGGAGTGAAAAGTGGGAAATCATCTATACACTAATAACTTTCAGAGTGGTTCAGTGAAAGTTCAGTTCTAGTTGTGTAAGACCAAATTTATATCATTATATCAAAGAGTATATCATTTGGACTGTAAAATTTCAATACATTCAGCTGTACAATATAGACTAAAAGTTACAGCAAACATCAGTTAAATGCAATGAACTTATCCAATGAAATCGCTTGTGTATTGAATTCGGTCAACACATTTTCTGTGCATACATTAGCATATACAGTATATACTCCTAAACATATGGACTAAAAATCACAAAGCACTCATTTAAAATCCCAAATAATCACTTTTAAGCATGCATATTCAACTTAATAAAGGCAAAAGGAGGTATACTCTAATGCCTGTGTTCTTGAACAGGAGCACAAAAACACTAAGCATTGCAAAACAACATGTAAGGGTAATGGTCTTTGGGGGCAACTGTGCATTAGTCTATTATTTTATTTGATCTGACATTTTCAGATTAGAAACATCAAATGCGATTAAAGAATGAAGGAATCAAACATTTCTGATGGACCTCAAAAGCTTTGCTTCAGACCCAGATTAAACCTCGCCGTGGACTGCAGAACCATCACAACAAAGATGCCCTACTTACAGTACTTTAGCAGTAAGGAATTCAGTCTCGTTAGAATCACACAGGCTCATCTTCTGTAAAATAAACGTCTTGCTGGTCAAAACAAAACTATCGAGAGCCAACTAGATTCTTTGAGCATGACTTGAGCTGAACTTGTTTAAAGTATATGCTCACTCACTGCCAAGATGAAACATAACTAATAAAGAAAAGACCATAAGAATGCACAGATAAAAACAAAAAAACTAAATGAATAGTTTATCTATAAATTATACTTCTTTCATCATTTAACACACTCTCATTACTATTTATTTGGTGTAACAATTTTGAAGAATTGTACTGGTCGATCTTTTACATTTAATTAGTCCCCATGCGGACATAGGCTTTCAAGCTTCAAAAAGGATGCAAAGGCACCATAAAGAATCAAAAGTGGCCCATGACAACTTGTGCACTATAGGTTTCTGAAACCATATGATAGCGTATGGTAGAATCAAACTGAACTTGAAGTCATTACTGAATTCTCCTCTGTAAATCGTTAAATGTTGTGAACAGATCATTGAGTCAGTGTTGAACTCACAAACCAGATCAGTCCAATTCATGAATGAATCATTCAGATAAGTTTTAGTTTCTGCATGGAAAAGAGCAAATGGCACATTATTCAGGATATCTCCTTTTATTTGTCCCATGAACCCTTTAGATGTATATTGTTTAAAGTGTATATAAAAAATGCTGTATAGTGCATGCCAGATAAATGCTTTATGATAAAAGGTAAAGTGCAGAGTGTAGAGATGGTTAGACCAGATTGAAGGAGAAGCTAAACATCTGGTGAATCAACACACACACACACTTTGTGAAATAACAGGCTTTGGCCTGAAAGGCATCCACAGACTGTCACTGAAATATGTGCATTCAGGGGAAATCAAAACACACTTCGACTTCCACTTCAAAAGAAGCACAGAAAAAACAAAAATCCTGAACAAATTACAGAAATGTAGATATGTCAGTCATTTATGCAGGAAAAGATTCTTAAGTGATTGAGAGCTATTCAAACACTAAAACTGGCTTCCTGTGAATTAAGAGGAAAACTTGGCCATGCATACAAAAAAATCTGATTTGTTTTCAATATGTAAATAACCTAATAAAGCTCAAGGTTGGGTCAAAAGCCGACAGTTAAAGTCATGTAGCGTCAGCAGCTATTGAGCAAAAGGCTGGTGCTCAACAGGAGGGCTGGTGCACCACTCCTGCAGGATCTCATCTCTCATTTAATAGGGCCAGTAAAGAGGAAGAGAGAGCAGGAAATGTATTATGATCGTTCTGAACTCTTACAGAAAGCTGAAACAGTGGGTATTCTACCTTTGTATCTCCTTAGTAAATGCAATGACCAAAAAGGAAGGAAAAAGACAAAATACATACAAGTGGTAGTGCTCAAATGTACTCAAAATACTGTTTTTAAATTATGTTGTTGAACATAATAAAAGATCTAAACTTTCAACGCATTAAAGCAGTAACTCACCTAAAGTGTAATACTTAAACTATTTCTTTAACTCTGCCAGCCCTATTAATAATATACTGCATCCTAAACAGGAGGCATTAAAACAAGTATGTGGCCATTTAAAAAAAAAATTGGCAATACACTTTTCCCAACTATTTGAGACACTCTCAGACCTACTGAAATAAAAGCTCAAGTGTCTGGGGCATTTCTCAAACCTTCTCAATTTCTCGAGCCTTGGCAGTAACAGCTTGAGCTCGTCGTTCTTGAAAGTCATCCATGATGGAGGAAGCTTCATCTACGGTGGGTGGAACTTCATCTGGGGGCCCTTCCACCGTTGTCGTGTCCTCCTGCAGTACATAGAACAGGGCGTTTTTAAAGGCTACATTAATCCAGAAACATGTTGTTCAGAGTAAAACATCCCAACAAAAGCTGGAAATCAACATTCAGGAAAGTCCTGTTCTCTTCAAAACAGAAAGCAGGCAAAGCAGAACCACGTCACTGTATGACAGAATGGAAACAAATCAGGAAAAAAGTCTAACAAGTTGGCTTTGTCTATCTTGATCTACGACTTGGATCTGAAGATACTTTTTGTCTCCGAAAATGAACTGTCCCACACTAATTAACCAAACCAAGCTAATAACAATCATTTGTTGTAAGTGGAGAGGAATATATATTTAAGACAAGATCTCCAAAGGCATTACAAATAAATATAAGCCCACCAAAGCAAAATACATGCACTTATGTTCTTTGTTCTTCAAACAATGAATCCCCATAACATGTGTTTGTGTTGAACTTAAGAGACCGCCTATCAGGGCCAGTTTACACTGGCAAAGCCTTTTCATCTAAGGCACAAGGTTATGGCTTATGCCCCATGAACAGAGCTATGGAAGAAGATCAAAGGCTCAAGGACGGAGACGTCCACTAACCAGAACAACTTTCATCTGTACATGGTTCAGAGTTGAATCAAACAAAAGAAACGCACACAGGTTCTTTAATAAGGCATTTCATGTTGTGTTGGCATGAAACTGAAGCTTGATTCAAGCATTCTTGAATCAAAACACTAATTGAGTAATGGGAAAATACAAGAAACAAAAAAAGAAATATTTTTAAAAGTATTCCGTATATGTATTCCAATATGTTTGGGTGCAACCTTCCACTTCTGTTTCTTCAAAATGTGTTTTTCCTTGCCTATCACTCAAAATGGGTCACCATCAAATACAAAAATGTGTTAAATATCTATGTTTATATAATAAATATTTACATAGTCATTATGACATCATATTTATTATAAATTGTAATCTTTTATTATATAATATAATTTACATATAAATATAACATTAGTATACAAATAATAATTTATAATTAATATTATATTTTATTTATTATAAAAAACTTAATATTTATTATTACTTATTAATAAAAAAAAATTCTGGTGTTGATAAATATTAATAGTACCTACTTAAAATTATGAAAATATCTAAAAAACCTGAACAATTTCTTTACAATTTGGGTGACAGAGCTCACATATTATAGTTGTGACACTTAACATGCGCACAGAATTACCTATTATTAAATTATTTAAAAAAAAACAAAGTATAAACTAAACTTAAAAATAAATTACTTTTTTTCCCCTTAAGCTTCTTAAGTAAAGCAGTTTTGTCCCATGTCTCGGGAATCACTGAAATAACTTGTTTGCATTACAAATAAAATAATAAAACCGCATATTCACAGAGATTCCTTTTTTTTTTTGAGAAAAACAAAAATCAGCAAAAATATTTTGTATGTTTACCATGATTGTTCTCAGATTCAGTTCACCTAAATGCAAAAAGGGAAAAAGAGAGTACACGAGAGAAACAGTTAAACAAAATTATTTTAGGCGCTCAGTGCACTCTACAGCATGTTCAGAGTGCTCTGAGCCGCCGATAAGATCTCGTGATAAAGCCGAAAGTTGAGCTAATGGATTTCTCCCTCTTTTTTTAGCCTTACTGCGGACTGGGTGGCCCAATGATGTCCATGACTCCCCTTCAGCTACCCGCCGTGTTTTGTGTCAGAACTACGCTTACAGTCTGAATAAACACAACACGGGCCGCTTGGCTTTCATACGCCAAACTGTACTCTTTAAAAGCCATCGTATGAGAGAGAGGAAAGCGCAAGCAAACATCTTTTCAAATCTCCAGTCACTGATTTGTGTTTTTTCACCATCAGCTGAAATTGCTGGCATGCCACACTTATTATTATTTTAGTGGATGAAAGAGAGTGTTCTGGTAAGCACATCTGTTTGGGAGCTGTGTGTGCGTTGTGCGACTCACCTTAGTGGCTGATACGGAGCTATGGGGCGAACCATCTCGTGATGCACTCACGGAGGGGCCGGGGGGCCTTTCCCTGTCTGCAGAAGATGAAAGACCAGGATCAGAACATAAACAAAGCATCTGTTGTAGGACGCAAGGCAACAATGCAGCTATAGTTTGGACGGAATATGGCCTTGCTTGACTCATTTGGTGCCGTAAACGTTTTCACATGCTGGAACGGATCCTGCTCGCTTTCAGAACATCCAGCTGGCATGCAGAACCAGGTGGTTCCCTCGCTGCCGATCAGGGCTCTTCCCTGCAGGCAAACCACAGCCAGGTGCCTGCAGTGTCACCCTGTGACCCTCTCTGTGTGAGCTGTAGGCTCAAAACCTACGGATTCCTTTGGCGAGAGATGAAGGATTGCTCGCTAAATTGATTTGGAGTGGAGAGAAGTCTATAACCAGAAGTTATGTTTAGATTTACACAGATTTAAGATTCAAATCTAAATCTCCTTGCGATGTATGCATGCACATCAAACATCTGGCAAAGAAAAGTATAAAGGGAACGGATGAAAGCTAGAGAAAAAGGAAAGGTTTAGCAATCAGACACACGCCTGTGGACTTTTTACGATCCCTGGCCAAAGGAAGTGAGAGGAAAGCAGACAAACAAAATGAGGCTCTACGATGGTGGGATTAGCAACGATTTCTCTCAAGTTACTGTGACTGCGGGCTGACCTTTAACTTATATCACAAAATCTCCTTGTGTGTGAGCCATACACTTTCTTTATCAGGATTTAAGAGAGGAGTATGATTTTCAAGGAGTTTTGGTTTCCAAAATATTCATATAAATTGGAACGGAAATTCCTATGTACACTACCACTAATAAGTTTGGGCAGTTTTTATTTTTTAATTTTTTAAGAAATTAATACCTTTATCTAGCAAGGATGCATTAAATTAATCAAATTCATCAAAGTAAAGACATTTTTGAAAGTAGCCATGAAATTATTGGAAAAATTTAGTCAACCAATCATTATTGCAAAATAAACCATATCAAGATGATACAAGACCACAGTGATTGTGCTTATTTATATCCAGTGATACGTCCACCTGTACGTTATCCAGTAAAAAAGATACACATTTATATTATTTAATTTTTCTCCATGAGTTCCATTCAGCTTTGTTAAATTTTTAATAAAAATCTATATTGTTTTAGACTAAATGACCATTTTCCAAAATTTAATTAATGCGGGCTTTCTGATGCATAATAAATATGACTGCCCGGATCATCTATATGCCCCCAGAATGACAGTGTTTTACTCACCCGGTCCCCTTCCTGGCCCGAACGGCTCCTCATATCCTGAAACACAGGAAAACATTTTTGTATAACATCACCAAAAAAATAAGAGAAAAACTGTACAAAAGCTGCAATTTTTAGTGAGCAATAATTCAGGTGTTTTTGATGCATTTCTTTCATCAGTATTAGAGGTTAGATCATATGATCTCATGCAAGCCTGCTCCATCTTCAGAGCAGCATAATCGAGAGACGCTCACTTAGAGTATATCTTCCCAAAAACGTGCATCCAATATTGGCTGCTCGAAGCATCGCTCTGGAGCTTATTACTGAGAATCTCATTATAGTAACAGAGCACAGTGAAACAAACACATATGGGAGTCTTTATTAGGACAGGCTTTGAGTTACATCATCTGTGATCGGAGGTCTGCGGTGGACGCTTGTGTACAGTCATATCCAAGCCTGTCTATTTTCAAACACGACGACTCAAATCAAACCTGTCTAGGAAGCATTTAGGACGTTTATCTAGTTTATGTGAGAAATAAAGCAACCAGGGAAAGTCTTTCCACTCTGCAGCTGGGCATATTAAAATGTGCTTGTGTGCAAATTAGTCAAGAAAGCCCTTAAATCAATCAACAGGCTTCTACATGTTTCAAATAGTCCATGTCAGGTCAAAGACTACACTTCAAGCTGTGCACTGACCCTTTGTACCATCTGTGTGTTGGAGATCCCACAAATGAGATTTCTCCGAGTAAAATGCAGAGGTCTATACCTGCGAACACCATTGACATTTACCAATTTCATATGAGCAGCACATGAGCTGTTGAGCTCATAAACTACAAATTAAAGCTGAAACTCCAACATGCATTATTATACATATGTGTACAATAAGTATATACACTTCCGTTCTAACCAAATATGAACCAAAATCAAAGAAATACTATGAAGTGATTGAACAAGCATTTTGACATACTTTTCCCCTGCTGGGGCGGGAAAGGATGCACTTTGCCCCTCTCTGGTGAGTAGCTGCGGCTGCTTATGCTGGACCCCGACCGACTGTGAGGGGAAGGGGGGACGTCCCGCCGAGTTGGAGAGCGTTCACGTACTGGAGGGAAGGGCGCCTTTCTTCTCAAGTTGTCTCGCTCTTCACTGTGAAAGAGATGAGCAGAGATACACAAAGTTTTCTTGAGTATCTGTTCCCTAGTAGAATAACACGGGGTATATTACTTTTAACGTGTCTGAATACAAACCCCTTGTCCAGGTTCATTATGGCCTGTATGAGGGTGTCGTCTCCTGCATCAGGGGCTACTGTAGGCAGAGACCTGGCTGGAGGATAAGCACCCTGGACTCGAGCATTCGGGGGAGGACCTGCCCGATTGCTCGGTCTGAGACAGGAAAAGGAAAATAAGACAAATATTTGCATTCACATTATGGATAAGAAATATTAAGCATTCTTTTTTTTCCCTCTCATTAAACATTTTTTAAACATACTAAATCAATACAAAAAATTAAAGATAGCAAAAAAAAGTAAAAATTTAATTCAGCTTTGCAATCCCAGGAATAAATTACAATTTGAGTTATTTTAAACTGTAATAATATTTCACAATATTACTTACTAAATATTTTTTCAAATATATACTAGACCAAAACAGATAAAATGGAAGGCAAAATAAGCAAAATTACCAAAAAGCAAAATTATGGTAAAAATTGGTAAAAATCTAAGTATGTGTGGTTTAAATAGTTGTCCACTGTCCTCTTACAGGTTAAGAAGGGGGTTAACAGGGGGACAATCCGTTAATCTTAGACACTTGTTTATGAACCATGCCCTGTAGGGTCAGACGCTGAGTGTATTGAGATGAAGGGTCAAGGGAGAGGAGACGAGGTATTTCTACCAGCCTCAGGACTGTCATTTCAAATTATCATCTTTTCATATGCATCATATATATATTTTCTTAACACATATCACGACTGACTTTCTTCTGTGGAAGACAAAAGATTATATTTTGAAGGATGTTTTAATTGTTTTCGTCCATATTATGAAAGCCAGTGGGGTTCAAAACGACACTGGACCCTCCTTAAAAAAATAAATAAATAAACAAAAATTTAAAAATGTTCTGCATTTTCATTTTTGGGTGAACTACTGGGTGTTGGAAGACTTTTACGGGTCAATAAATATTCAGAAAAGCAGGGTCAGTTTTGATTTAGTAATGCCCTTAAAGCCTTTTAATTGTCCTTAAAGACTTTTTAAAGATGTAAAACCTGTTGGTTATGCAGGACACCCCCAGACCTGATGACACAGAGGAGATTCTCTTAAACTAGTTTCCAAACTGAGCTCTGCTTCATTTAAGACTTTACCTATTTGTGTAAGAACCAAGCCAGAGGCTTCACATCCTGCTTGTAAAAAGCAACTCAATATAAACTGCACAAAGAGGAGGGCAAAATGAGGCTTGTAAAAAGTTGCAGCGCTGCACCACAGCTCTACAGAGTCCGCTCGCAACCAAGACATTCATTAACACACATCTGTTCTAGCGGCAGTAAAACACCCTTCAGTTTACTCTGCTCCCCCTCGACTCGGTTTCCCTACCAGGGCCCTCCGGTCGCGCAGGCCGATTACGTGCCACTTATATGGCCTGCCGCACAGGCGAGAGGGAGGACGAAATAGAATCACAGGCACCTGGTCCGAGTGACCCTGGCCTGAACCCCAGCCAGGTTCCCCTCTCACAAACACGACAATGAGTCCGCATACAGCGACCTCGCAAAACTTTAATGACCCTCACATCTGTTTGAAGTGCAGGTGACCCTGTCTGCCCTGGACTAACAGAGCAAATTACCACATGTCTGTCTTTACTGCCAATATGAAGTCAGGATATTTTCCCAAGCCAAAAAAAGGTTAACCTCTCTCTCCCAATCACAAGCCACCCCGACAGATTAAAGCACTGAAAAGGTCAAAACAGGTACCTGAAAGCATGCCTGACATGCACGATTATTCAAATTAGCAGGAAAATGCTTTATAAGACCATATAAAAGTCATTCTTTAAAACTGAATCTTGGGAATGTCTGATTTTAAAAAGAGAGGCTTAGACCAGCATGATTCACTGTCTAATAACAAAAGCGCCACCATGTGGTAAGACTGGGCCAAAAACTACTTTTTTTTTTGTACAAAAAAAAAAACTAAACCTTTCTTTGCAATTGTGAAATTTAAAAGCAATTTAAAAATTTAAAATTATTTCTGTTTTTTTTAATCCTATTCAAATGTATTCTGTTTCAACTTTACAAATAATACCGCTTGCTTGTACAGACTCTTTGTGTGACAATTTTACCCATTCCATTAAGAAAACAATGATGTCACCATTTAAAGGTTTTGTAATGCTTCTTAGTCGGGGTGTACCAACACAAAGTTAATTTGGCTGCACTCCATCCTGCTGTTAACTGTTGCAATTAATTACCGGAGAGGCAGATTATAAGATACAGAAAACCACTGGGAAGCACACTGATCATCCAGTTGGCAGAGTGACTGTCTGTGGGTATTTCCATGGGAGCTGAACCACAAAAACCAAACAGAGAATGTAGGACAACTCAGAGTTTGATTTATGCTCTTTCTTAAGAAACTTCACTTTGTTTCTTGGCTTCCTTTCTTCACTTACACAAGGCATTATAGCTGCAGGGAACGCAGCTTGTTTTCAGAAAGAACAGTTCTGCCATCTGCTGGGGAAATGACACGTGCTTCAATGGAAATATCCACCCTTGACCCCATTTACACATTGTATTAAGATCCTGAAATGGTCAGCACTAAATAAGAGTGTAAAGGGGATCCAAAATGTTTTGTAAGGCCACTCAAACCATGTTTGGAGGTTATTTGAAATGCATGCAACCACTTTGCATTTGTAACTTTTGCTAAATCTAATCTGAATACATGAATACAAGAGTGAGTATTTCCATTATTTCCAAAGAGTAGAAAGAGAAAAGATGGCTCAATTTATTTAGAATATGCCCATCCAAAATGTATGAATACATCTTTTCCTTTGTGGCATTTTGAGGTTACCTGATGTCAATTTGACGTCCACCACGGGGCTCCTCTCTCTGCCCTCTGTAGTATGGGAAGTCTTTCTGCTAAAATGCAAAACAAAATGATATGATGATGAAGTGAGATATCTAATTGCAATTGTTGAGTGCTTTACATATCTGATTTTTTTTCTTCTTTTTATTTAAACCTAACTGAAAACATGCCAAGGAATGTACATATATAGTTGTATACCTTTAACACAAATAACAAACAAAAAGTCAGGCAGACACAGTTTTACACACCAAGTATACTTTAAAAAAAGGAAATAAAAATAGAAGAAGAAAAAAAAAATTACAATATTTGATCTCTGATACGTACCCTTCGACCGGGTGGCCCACCCCTGTGGTCATTTGAAAATGAGTGATGGCTGTCTCCATGGTAACCTCTCTGACCCTCTCCATGGTAGTTGCGAGGGGCACCGTTTGGGTAAAACCGAGAGCCATCACATTCAAAACCACGGCTATAGTCCTCGTCTGGCCGCCCAAAGGGAGGTCTCCTGTTCCCGTGAGCTCCTCTTGGATATGGACCCTGTAAGATCAAAAAAGCTCAAGCACAGCTGTTTGTCTCACAGCATAATCCAAATGTCTGATTGTGGTCAAAAACAATTACAAAAAAATAAAGTATTTACCACTCTTTCTGGAGGAAACCGTTCCTCATAAAAATCTCTAATATTTCGATCTCTCCTAAAAGCCACTGATATACAAAAAGACACAAATGACATATTAATAGGATTTAAACCTCAGTAACAATATGGCACTTACACATAAGATTACATCAACATAAATTAAATTAAAACAAAATATATGACAACCATCCAAACAATAAATAACTATAAATATTGCATAACACTGACAAAAAAAAACCATTTAATACAAATGACAGTGATATCTTATTACATTTTAATGTTCATATTTGATCATATTTCAGATTTTATTAAATTTAATCAGACTTAAAATCTAACATATTTCTCTAAATAACTTACTTTTAGTTTCTGAATGAAAAATGGATGTCTTCAGTTGTATGACGGTTATCTATGAACAAATGAGAGGTAAATGAAACAGAAATAGGGATGTACCAGTTCCTGTCCTGTAGCTGGCAGATTATTATTTATTTACATTTAATCATTTAGCAGATGCTTTTATCGAAAGTGACTTACAAATGAGAACAATAGAAACAACCACACCAACAAGAGGGCAACAGTATACAGTGCAAGTGATGTGACAAGTCTCAGTTAGTCTAGCACAGTACACATTGCATTTTTTTTTTTTTTTTATAAATGAGAAAAAATGAATAGAATAGGTAAGTGCTAGTATTAATTGGTCAGGTGCTCACAAAAAGATGTGTCTTTTAGACGTTTTTTGAAAATGGCTAAAGACTCAGCTGCACGAATTGTGAAAGGCAAGTAGTTCCAGCAGCTGGGAACAGTCCAGGAAAAGGTCCATGAGGGTGATTGTGTGCGCCTCTTTGGGATGGCACCACGAGGCGTCATTCACTTGCAGAACGCAAGCTTCTCAACTAGCGAGTTTATGACATATCCATTAATTATTGCTGATAAATGTAGTTTTCCCCGTTTAAAAAAATAGCGTTCGCAATAACTGAAGTAAAAGGCAGGCTTTGTAACATGTTATTGCATAGTAGAAAACACTACTGTTAAATACTTATGATAAAAAAATAACGAACTATCAAAAAATATGTGTCTAGAGGGCGTTGTTAGGCACAACCCCTTTTTTCCCCAAGACTTTATTTACTTAAGTTCCTTATTGCTTTTACAAAACAGTTGCTCTTATTGAAACATCGTAAGCAAATCAATCTAGATAGAATAAACAGTTCCTCGCGCAACAGAATGTTGCTGTGCACCAAAGATAAGTGATGCGCACGCAGTGGCCAGCTAAACAGGTACAGTTTTCGCTGCATTAGAATGCTGCATTAACCAATCAGAACTCAAATTAGGCGCTTTATAATTTATAATAATATATGTACAATGTATTTTCTATCACAGAACGCACGCGCACATCTGAAGCGATAACATTTCTGCTGCGTTGACTTGTTTCTTTGTGCTAAATTCACAGTCAACGAGGAATCAACTCCAGTTTATATTGATTTATGTTTTTACCCGTATGTGTGCATCTTCAGTCAACAAACTCTTATTTACGATAAACTAATTTAAATCCGACGCTGTAATACCGTCTTTCACCAGTGCATGCATACTGAGAACACATGTGTAACCCCAAAATAAGCGTTACATACCGTTCACATTCTTTGCTTGACATTCCTCCTGTCAATTTAACTTTTTAATTGTTTTGTTTGTCTTTTGTGGCCAATCAACTTTAGCTAAATAATAATATTTTTGAGACGGAACGTGTGGTGAAACGCTCAGCCCGTTACTAAACATCCACAGCCACAATCAAAAACACGTTTCCGGGTTCAGATCAAAAATTGTTTTCAAAATAAAGCCATACAATCTTAATAAAATAACTGTTAAATTAAATTTGAGGCTAGTATTCACTGTATGTTCATTTTACGAGCTTTTCATGAGTCCCTTTGATTTACAGAAGTAGCTATTCATTCTGACATTATCGTATCGCATATCGAATATTGCATTATTTAATGAGTTATCACATATCGCCCTAGTGTGTGTATAGGCCTATGTATGTATTTGACTTCTTACCCTGAAGCATCTTCACACTTGATGGACCCTCTCTACATATATGGTCACATGACAAAAATAGTGTGAATTACTTAGAATAAGGGAGCAAAACATCTTACTGTATACTTCCCCTATATACATTCCTTTTTCTACAGGATTTTTGAAGTAAATTTACAAATATTGTTAACTTGTGTATATATATTTCTTGCAATTTCCCCACAGTTATGCTCGAAATATGGCAAGGTAGTGAAGTAAGTATCCTTCATTTTTGGGCTGCAAATGATAGATTCTGTTATACTTCTAGAATATAGCTTGATCATAGTCACAATATCATTTTCTGAAGCGTGACTGTTGTCAAAGACAAGCAGACACGAATGAGTAAGGGAGTTGCATTTGTGCCGTTTCTAGATAGAGAGTCTGCTCATAATTGTGCCCGATCGCTAAACAACAAACAGGTATGCTGGTTTAACATAACATTAAGTTAACAAAAAGTACACATGAAGCCAAAGTGTTTGATTGCTCTTTCAGTTGTTTGGGAGAGCGGTGAAGGCCAGTAATAGAAAAAGTGATTTCTGTTAAATAAAATATCTCCTTTTGAATTGGACTTTGAGCTTTGTAAGTTTGCAGATCTTTTTTATGCTCAAACAGCAACATTACAGACTAACTAAAGTTGAAAAAGTGAAAAAGCATAATAGGATCCCTTTAATGCATTTTTTAAAAAAAATACATCAAACACAAATTTATCAGGCTGCTATATTTAGGTTCAGTAATTTTACTCTAATGACGATGTATAGGTCCTTTTCTATGCAATTAAAGTGAAATAACTGAACATATATATAGGAGCCTGATAAAAATGCTAATTTTAGAAGAAAATTTCAGACGGCATTTAGAGGCTTTTGCATCTGAACTCTTCATTTCTAACTTTGTCAAACTATGTTGCAGAAAGTCAGAAAAAAAACTCTGCTTACCTTGATCTGAGATGTTTGTTGTTATTTATGCTCCTCATTCAGATAATTACACCTCCAAATATTGTATTTTTTTAATCTTCTAAATATAGTTTAGTTTTGTGTATTTCACAATTACATTCTTGTTATTGTTCGAGGAAGCATGGAAAATAAACAGTTTTAAGTGTAACTTCCTGTCACCTTTGTCCTCAGCTCTCATTTTTTCACCCACTGATATGTCAGTTATGAAGGCTCAGTATAAAAGTGTTTGCATTCTCAGTGAAGCAAACCTCAAAAATTACAGTATATTTGATCAAAAAAAAAAAAAAAAAAAAAAAAAAAAAATATATATATATATTGCTTCATATCATTAGCAAATGCATGTGTGAAATGTATGATTTCTACAATACAAATGCAACTTTGTAAAATAAGATTTTGTCCTGTCCCAAGTCAAAGAGCTTGTTTTTCTTGACTCTATCTAATGATTAAAATCATACAACGATTGATCTATTGAATTGACATTGCTTACTGTAGTAAAACCTACCAAGTGCATCAGTCAATCTCAACAACTCAGCTGTTATACAAGTTATTATTAGAAAAAAAATCTAGCAAATATTCTTCTTGACATGGAAAAATGGGAAATATAGGTTTCCATCAACAATATTTGGCCCCAAACTAGCTAGTCCCTGTTGTGTAACAGCTAAATGTAAACTGAAATTGCAACCCTGTTAACCATTCTGTTTTGTTTCTTTATTTTGTATTGTTAGTTTATTTTATAAATAGTCTATTTATTTATTTTTTGTTTGTTGTTAGAAAATAGCAAACAAAACAATCACACAAATCAAGGCATTTAGACCCCAAGTTTGGTAACATTATGGAAAACCATGCCAACTCTTACGCGTTCAACGTGAGACTCACGCAATTGACACTGTTCTCACGCCACACGTCCATTGAAAAGCTGTAATAACAGGATATACAGTATTTCTATATATATATCAACCCCAAATTAATAGAAAATTAAACAGCTAATTTAAAAAGTTTTCACTGACCATTTGCTGAAACAGAAAAACACTTAACATTTTAGAGTTTAGAGCAAAGTGCCAGGAACGAGTGTCTTTAATTTAAGAGGGGTGCAGTTGCCTCACTCGCATTCGCTCTGCGCCCAGTTGATTTGGGGTGAAGCGGGAGCACGACTCTTTCATATAAACCCCACGACCCTCCTTTAGAGAAAATAAATCGGCGCTGGATTGGTCGAGCAGGGTCACGTGACGGCCGCTGCGCTGGAGTTTCTACGACAGCTGGGAGCCGCGCGAGAGGCGGCTGTGCCTGCGACGCTTCGCACAAAGTTTCTGAAGCATGGGAGACAAGAGGAGTCCGACGAGGTAAAAACAAACAGAAAGAAACTCCCACAGCCGGTGGCTTCAAGAAACTCGAGACCGTCTCAGGGCTTGAAACAGACCATTAGGCAGCGCGCGTGAATGAGAAAGACGCAACGAGTGGCCACCATGGCGGACTGACTGTTTTATCAACCTAAAGTGTAATTTCATTAAAGAACGCGTCGCTTGCGCAGGCGTCCGGCTGACGTTGTGCATGGATAGGATCAGATATGTGTGTCGGAGATTTCTACAGTCCGAGATGTGATGTACTCTCTGTTTGTTTTGCTTTTTGAAGGCCGAAACGGCAAGCGAAGCCCTCTTCCGACGACGGCTACTGGGACTGCAGCGTGTGTACATTCAAGAACAGCGCCGAAGCGTTCAAATGCATGATGTGCGATATCAGGAAGGGCACATCAACGCGGTGAGTGCCACACGATGTCTGAATGCGAGCTGCTGCTTCAAATCTAAGGAACTGCCTGCCTACACCGCATATTTGGACTTAATTCGATACCCCAGAATGCTGTCTAGATAACGTTAGTCAGCTCATTGGGTTTTGAGACAGCCTTTTGCCTTGTGCGTATTAATAATTACACAGTTAATACAATGTTTATAACCTCAGGAACAAATGTGAGCAGTCAGTGTCACGTTACTAAACAGCTCTGTTTGTAAAACATCCATTATACCCTGATTAAAGCAGGTTATTTCAGAAGTAATTGGGGTTTAATTTCAGTTCATTATGTAATTATAGTACATTAGCTGGGTATGACACAACATATGAGCAAATCTCTATAATGCCGTACTTTTTTTCTATTAGCACTCTTTAAAAAAAGTCAATAAATTGGCTTGTAAATGTACATTTAGCCTAATTCTAACGCTTAAGTCATACATATTTTCATAATCACCACAATTTGCATGTCAAAAGGCAAATGTGGCATTAAAAATAGCATTTTGTAATGTCTTTCCTCTGTTTAGATGTAAAAGCATTTGGGGTGCACTGATAATACCGATAATATCGACTTGTGTTGTATACTGGAGGAAAATACTTGTATTAACGCTTTAGCGCTTAAAGACTTTTGTGATGATAATGTTGTTTCTGAAGATGTGGTGACATTTACCATTGTTCGGTAAACTTTAACCGGTGTTTGAATTTTAACAGTCGAAATTGAGTCACATCAATAGGAATCAGTGGAATCTGGAATTCCGTGTGAGGGGGCGAAAGATTTCCCCACGCAATGAGTTTAAGTTGGTAGTAACTTTGGTGTGAGTTGTGCTTTTTTTCCACTACACTTTTGACAACAGTTGTTTTTTTGCCTTGCAGAATTTCACAGAAATAAGGATGGAATTGAAAATAATACTCTTGAGTAATAATTTCAGAGGTTTTCGTGCTGTATATTGAAGGATAAATACTTATACTTGGTATAAGTATCATCGTTTAAAGTTTCTAAAGATATGGTCACATTTACTGTCATTTGGTGAATTGAAAATTTGCATGAGGGCGAAAGATTTCGTCATGCGAATTTGCCGTTCTCACTAACACTAACACTAACTAAGCTGCTTGGTTTGAGCTTCGATATAAGCTCTGCTTTTTTTTTTTGCTACACTATGGATATTTTACCTGTGAAATTTTATCTGAAAATAGGGAAGAAATAGAAAATAATACTCTGTAGGGAAGAAACCTTCAATTAATCATATAGAATGAGGGGTCCTACGCAATGCATGTTTTTACTGAGCATCTATGGTTGGTATCAGCCAATACTCTGCTTGTATTGGTCTTACAGATAGCGTCTTTCCCATGGCAGCGATCCATGAGAGAGTGCTAATGACCTCATCAGAGAAGACATTTAATGGGCTCGTATTTTCTCACTTTCATCTCATCAGTCATAAAAAAATGTTTTGGAACAGTCAGCGACTGAGTCGGCAGTCAGTTATTTCCCTTATGTCATTAAGATGAGATCAGGAAGTAAAATATTCCTCATCTGCGTTTCAGAACATAAACGCACACTAAAAGTAGATGAAGATGATGATGATGATGACAGACCTCAGCTCTCAACAACAGCACCAGATAACGATCATCTTTCTTTAGGGAGATTGTTTAGAAAGGTTTAATTATCTTTCAAGTTTCAAATCCCATTACCACCGCTGAATCAAAGCATTATTACAGCAGTTATTTAAAGCTAACAAACGTTCATTTTCACTCCAAAAGTGTGTGTGAGAGGGCGAAGGATTTTTATGTGGGGGTGGGGTGCTGTCACTCGTCCAGGCCACCACAGCAGCTGGCGTCCAGACGGCCTGAACTCATTTGTATTCAACGGCTTAATCAAGAATGCTGTCATCAGAAGAGGCATCATCACATCAGGATACATACACACACGGACACTCTTGCCCATAAATAAACCCATGATTGCACATTGTCCTGTTATAATGCCTCGGAGATGGCCACAAATGATGGGTTTTAATGATAATGTCCTCTTGATTAGATTCTCGCAGGTCGTTCATTTATGAAGAAAGGAGCGCTTCTTGACATGCAGCATGTTCAATTTTCTCCAGTTCTGCTTTTATGCTACTTTTAGCGAGCAGTTGTATGTGTAAACGCAAAGGATATACGTTGGTGCTAATTGCTGCTTTCAGCTTCATCATCTTCCCGAGCAGCCGTCAGATGTGAATGACAGTGTGTTAGGTTAGGTTGCGGTTGTGTGCAGCAGATAGCAAATTAATGTTTTATAAGGCTATGATTTAGCTGAGCCTGACTGATACGTGGCGAATGATACAAGGGTTTATTTAGAGCATGTTTGTTGGACATCTCATCATATGTTTAATTTGGGTTAGTAGGACATGCTTTTAAGCAAAATGTTTTGAAAAATCAATTTTTCCATACAATGAACGTCAATAAGGGCCTGTGCTGTTTTGGACCCCATTGAATTACATTGTAAGGATAAAAACAGGCAAAACGGGCTTCAAATATCTTCTTTTGTGTTCCGCAGAAAGTCATAAAGGTTTTGAACAACGGGAAGGTAAAAAAAATTGTCAAGTTTTATTTGGGGGTAAATTATCCCTTTAAATCACACAATACAAGCTCCTAAGTGAATGTTTTTTTTAATGTTGCTTTGACTAATGGCTATATTTGCTCTTGTTCGAAGAGTGATTTGTTTACCTAGTTGTTACCTTGCGCTGACAGACTGACATTTAATTGATGAAGCTGCAGAGCTTCTCGTAGAGCATTTTTAGGCCATTCCCTCGCTGACCCCCCGAACCTGCCGGCAAACCTCTAATTTCAGTGTACCGACACATTTTGCCCCCCAGCGAAATCATTCGCTCTGCTGGAGAGAGTATTATACCGTTCAATTACCACAAATGGAGAGAATGTCCCCTCTAGACCAAGCAGTTTTTTTCGTACTCCAGACCTCTCACGATGACAGATTGGAAAAAGGAAGGCTGTATTATGTTTGTTGTTTTTTTTCACGTTGGAGCTCTATTTGACTTGACACTAATGTATGTTTGTGCTGTCACAACCAGTTTAAGGTTGTCGGTTATAAATTGTTGGCATAACCTGTGCGCTCTATAGGGGTATCGCTGAGAGAACTGGACCCATCATCCTTCATTACTGTCAGTGTCGGTGAGGTGATGACAAACAGGATTTCGATTGCAAATAGGGATGCTCTGAAATTTCGGCCACTGAAAATGGCATTTACGGGGGTTTTCGTGCTCTGATAATAATAGCTTTGTAGAACTATACATTATTTGGATAATAACAAAAAATAAATAAAAAAGGGTTATATCTTATTCTGTTGGATAGAACTGAATAAAAATAATATATTGATATTTAATATTAATATATTTTCTGTTCAATTTTATTGTTACTTTCAATAAACGTGTGGTTATTTTAATTGTTTTAATGTTTTTATTCAGTACAATTAAAATTAAGTTAAATTAAAAAGTATTTCAAAATTACATTACATTATTTCATAAAATAATAATTATTTAAAGCATTTTTTGTTTCAGTTTTCGGCCAAGTGCATCCAGAAAATTTCGGTTTTGGCCTAGAAATTTCATTTTGGTGCATCCCTAATTGCAAATTATTCTGATAGTGATATTTTCTTGTTGCTGAACAATGCGATAAAACATGGTGGAGATGTGCAAAACCAACTTGTCAGTGGGTCTGAAGGAAGCCTTGAATAATTAGGCTGGTTCAGGGTTCACCTGACTCCATGCATTTTATAATTATACAATAGCGGAAAAAATTGCATTATTATATATAAATTATACAAAGGCTTTTACATGCTTATATAGTGTTAGTTGTTAGATGACTAGTCACTTGCTTCAGTGTGGCATTTGAAAGAGTTGAGCAGCATGTGAAATCCTCTCTAATTGCGTGTGTGCAGAAACCCAGAGTGCCGCTCTGCGAGTTCTCGTCTCTTTGCCCAAAAAGACGAAACTAATGCAGTCTGAGGAAGTGTTCCCAGCATGCCTCTGCCAAATAAACAAAAAGCCACATAAAACCTTCACATTATTCAGTAATTACAAGAGCCTGTTGTCATTTATTAGAGAAATGTTGTGTATAGTTTGCAAAAGCTCGCGAAGGCGCATGCCCGTACTGTCTCAAACAAGTTGACCTCATTTTGATTCAGACAGTTATGGGCCTTTGATGAAAGGAGAGAAAGCTGGATACTAAAGCGAGGGAGAAGCAGTGTGGAACTGCAGTGTGGGATTTTGAAAAGCAGTTAAAAGGAAATGCAGACATTTGGAAAGAACCGAAAACAGAGTGTGGAGAGGTGGGACGGTGGGAGGCAGAGTGCCATCTGTCAAACAGGGGGCTTGGCAGTGGAGCGAAAGGAGGAGCAGTATGGAGACTGCATGTTCACACAGTGTAGCGTATTAATCATGGTGTCCCCTCCCATCACTCAAGCCCACGAGTACACAAGCCTCCCCGGTACAATCGTTACGCCATTATACAAACATGCAGATATGAACACATCTGAGAGACTCTTGGATCAGAGGAGAGAACACCGCCCTCGTGTCCTTCTGATTTAACACAGTAATGTGGGAAAAATTTGTTTTGTGTGTGCACTTCTGTAAAAAGACGCCTTTGTAGACCCATTCGGTAACTGTTTGATGTAATAGTTGGCATTGATGTGATTTTATGAAGAAATTCAATACATCGGCTTTATTTAACAAGGAAACTGACTAAAAATTTAGGTAAGAGAGGCTAAGTTATATTGTGAGAGCCTTCAGTGACTTTTTGCTAAGAATACGAGAGCCCTAACTTAAACCCAATTGTGCATTTCTGGAGAGACCTAAAAATGGCTGTCCATCAACGTTTACCATCCAACCTGCCAGAACTGGAGAGGCTCTGCAAGGAGGAATGGCAGAGGATCCCCAACTCCAGGTGTGAAAAACTTGTTGCATCTTTCCCAAAAAGACTCATGGCTGTATTAGATCAAAAGGGTGCTTCTACTAAATACTGAGCAAAGGGTCTGAATACTTAGGACCATGTGATATTTCAGTTTTTCTTTTTTAATAAATCTGCAAAAATGTCAACAATTCTGTGTTTTTCTGTCAATATGGGGTGCTGTGTGTACATTGAGGAAAAAAAATAACTGAAATGATTTTAGCAAATGGCTGCAATATAACAAAGAGTGAAAAATTTAAGGGGGTCTGAATACTTTCCGTACCCACTGTATATTGGTACCACATTCGTAATCGGTTGATATGATAGATTTTTTTATTTAAATATTGGATATATATTGCCAATATTGGATATTAAATAATACATGCTAATTTCTTCTATTTTTACATTAAACACTAATTTAATATCACTGTAATCTTTTGCAAATCTCAAAATGAATATACATTTTTCATAATTCACATTATTAGGTGCCTAATTCACTTGTAGCATTTAAATTGTTTTTGTTTTTGTTTTACAGAATAGTAATTTTTTTTTATTAATTTGCCAATTGTAAGTTAGCAGCCAGCCAGCCAGCCACGTATAATATAATTAATTATTAGATTAGCGGTGCATCCCTTATTGATTGATTTTTATAAAATGGTTGATACATCCTAAAAATATAATTAGGACATTACAAATTAAAGAAAATATAATCTCTCGATTGGTGCCATTGAGCAGTCAAAATATTTTTTTTGTTTTTGACTGATATGCGACATAGCTGTTATAGTTTCATGTCGCTCATTTCACTTCATTGTCTCTTCTTTACTCACAAATAATTAGAACTTATTTCATTTTGTTCATTGAAATTTTTTTATTTGATAGTATTTATGTAATAAGCAGGATAATATACAGTCAGAGAGTCGTTGCAAAATTCTAATATTAACTGGCTTACATTGTCTTTTTGTATTATTGTAAGGGATAAATGTAAACTAATAGCACGGATTAAAGCATAGTTGCAACACGTATGCGTGAGACGGAGAGTGACTAATGACGGAGTAATTTCACAAAATCTCTCTCACCCTCATGACAAATGTTCAAAAATAAGCAGGATCAGCAAGGTTAATGCCAATTTACTCTGTCTGGCACAGAGGAAATACATCACAAAGTGATCGATTGATTTAATCTGAATGGTGCGTCTAACAGCGCTGAGTGTGAAGGGTGTTAAGAGTCCACAGCAAGCAGCCAGGTCTTGACATGCAGCAGAGAGTGAGGCAGGCAGACAACTAACAACAACTAATAATGGCCGTTTTCACTTGCCGTGGGCTTGGGATCAATGCTAATGACCGGTTCTTGGCTGCCATGCTTTAAGGCTGTAGATGTTCTAACTTCACAATGTGTAACTTAATTAGATATTTCCAAAGCAACCGGGGGTTATGGATGAAAGCGTAAACATTGCACAGATACTGAGAAGCTGTTTTTAAAATCACTGTATGTGTGTGTGTGTGCGCGTGTTGGCAAAGCAGACGGCAGCGATGCTGGCCTTCATACTGCTCTGTTGTGGACTGGTTTTGGTATAACAGCTGTTCTTGACATTACAGCAACAGTCACAGTGCATCCCTGTCGTACTAAACGTAATGCTACTGATGGGACTTTACCCTGAGCTCTGATCTGAGATCAGTATGGTTAGCTCATAGGCCTAGATATAATCTGTAATTGCCGCAGCTGTCAGGTTGTTAATTAGGGGTGCAACAACTGATTTGAAATGACAACAGCAAAACAGTATCCTACTAACAAACAATAGTAGGACAAGTTAAGTAGGACAAGAAAGGCTGTTCTAGATATTTCTGACCGTTTACATCAATAGGTTCAATCTGGATCTGGTGTTTTAAATGGTATATTATTATTAATAATAATAATAATAATGCATTTAGTTTGAGTAATTTATTTATTTATTTAGTTTAATTTTTATTGTTGGTCTAGGTTTTTTTAGTTTGTATCTAAAATGGCCACATTTTATTTTAGTTTTGGAATTACTCATTTATTTTAGGGTTTTTCCCTCTTATGTTTTATTTATTAGTTAACTAAAATGTTTTTTGTTTGTGTATTTGTTTTCATTTATTTTTTTTAATCTGATGCCAGTATTTTTCTATAATTTTTATATTGAAATTTTATGTTTAGACAGGGATAACTAGTATATTAGGGGATATTAGCTTCTATTAGGAAGTTAAATTGCCAGTTTTTGTCTTCCTGCTGTAGAAAGGAAAACAGATGAGTGAAATTGCGGCTGTTTCTCAACTGTTGAGAAAACACATTCTTCTCAGATTACACTATGTTGGCAAGATTTCTCAACTAGCTTCAACACTTGCCTGTTTAAACTTGCTCTTTCCCACCTAGTCCTTTTCATCAGGCTCTGGTGAGCTTGAATCATGTCATCCTGATTTAAAATCTTGCTTTCTCGCCTCTCAGTCTTCCCTTCCCCCCCCCACAGGAAACCTCGTCCTGTCACACAGCAGTTTGTTTCACCCACACAGCCCAAGAAAGAGAAAAAGGAGAAGACTGAGAAGGACAAGAACGAGAGAGAACCGACACTGAAAAAGAACAGCCACAAGAAAATGAGGTGAAATGAAAATGAGAAATGAGATGAAAATACGGTCCCTGTGTTCATAAATTTACTGCATAGTTCCTACTCCCCAAACAAATGAAGTGGCCGTCTTTTGCATTTTATATAGCAGGTAGCTCACTCTGGAAAATGTCATGTATTGTTGCTCTCCATTTGAAAACTATTTGAATATAAAATATATTTCACCTACTGCAGTGCACTGAGAATTATACAACACTTTTTGTCCCCTTTTAGTGACAAAGCTCATACAAATATTTGTAACAAATTGTACGCTTACACTACACACCACTATACGCTTACTATGTATCCTAATGAGATCTCCATCAATGAGAAACGGGCATTGATGCTTCCATGAAGCAATGTGAATTTAATAGATTTACACTTACGAACGGTTATATATTTACACTATTGTTACAGAGTTTAGAGTCAGTATCATTTATCGCGATTAATCCCACCTAACAATAAAGTTTTTTAATATAATTTTATATTGCAATAATTTCACATTCAATCTTCAATTAATGTAGACTCAACATACAGTATATTTTTAATATTTGGTTAATGGCATCTTTTTATGACTGAAGGTATCACTGATACCAATACTACTGATGCCTCTGAATTGTTTTTCTTCTTATTAGTATTTAACCAATGACTATAGTCATTCAACATTACAGTATAATTGAGAGATATCAATTTTAACATTTTATTAGACTTTTAAAAAATAACTTCTGATTCAAGTAAACTTAAATCAATCTTCACATAAACCCATTATAATAAATGTCATATTTACCTGTGCCCCACAGCAAGTAGAAAATAAAAAAATGCAGAAATGTAATAACGTTATAAAACACTACATTTTTATTTAAATATAGATTAATCTTTAAAGCTACTAAAGTTTTTATTTCCTCTTTTTTTCTTTTGTTCTTTGATTAACAGACATAACAGCAGCTGGGTTATTACGTTATTTTGGCTGCTTTAAGAGCTGCCGCTGCTGAACATGATGTGGATCTGACATGCATTGTATTTTCTCACAACTCTTTACCTTTTCTGTGTTCTTAAAGCTCTTAAAGTGTCTACTAATGAGCTAATGAGTTGAATCGGGTGTGTTGTGCTGGGGTGCTTCAGGTCAGTTTTGAAAACCACTGCATTTCAGAGACATGTTCTTAAATGACTCATATATAACAAATACTTGCATGCATGCACTGTTTTAAGGCAGCTTTAATGACTTAAGGTAACTTCATGACTTAACTGAATGACATAACTACGACATTGCATGCTCATAGTTTATTTCGCGCTTTAATATGAAATGATACAGGCTACAGCGTGCATCGGCACATTTGTGCGTGCAATGGACTATATGCATGGAGCGTTCTTTAGAACTTCCGCATAAAGATAAGCCAGCTTAGACAAACAAAACTTTTCTTCAAATTGTGACTGGATTGTGTAGAAAAACCGTGCAAAGGGTGCTCAGCTGAGTTTGACAGTCAACCGGAAATGACTGAGTTAGCTTATCTAAAACCAGGAAGTAACCGTGAAGTTGAAGTGTGTGTCTGAAAAGTCTCCTGTTTGATGTGGTCAAAGACATTCTGCGTCTAAATAAACGCAATTCTCCTCAAGAAAAAAAAAAAAGATAGAAGCAGCAGTAGTTGAGAGTGGTGTGGCCAACCCTATCTACATTAATAATAAGAAATGTTTCTTGAGCACCAAATAAGCATATTATAATGATTTCTTAAGGAATTTGAAAACAAATGTGTTCAAATTTATGGTTACATATGTCAGAAGTCTTCAAATCAAAGTTTCTGATGTTCTGATTCATTTTTTAGATCATTGGTTTGGTTCATTGCCTCTAGGGCTGCACGATAAATCGCATGCGATATTTAATGCGCATCTTGTGATTGAGAAAATACTTGGAAAACCAAGGCCGCCGGGTTCACTTTTATGCTCTATTATACTAGCAATTCAAGTCAATTTTATTTATATAACAAGCCAATTTACTCTATTTAATACAGATTTAATGTTTCAAAGCAGGTTCACAGTAATAAACAGTTAAATTAGTGTTAATGTTGCTAAATGCATCAATTATAAAACTATTTAAATTTCAGCTGTAAAGCAGATCTACAAAAGACAATAGTATCTCAATTAGGGTTGTGGCGGTGAGAAAATGTTTCCACCGGTTAATCGACGTGTGGCAATACCGGTATCACCACGGGGGCAGGGGCGTTCTCTCTTTTCCTTGCTTTCCTTGGCTTTTAAATAGCTTGTAAAAGCAGCGTGCGCATTTTACTTTCACTTTGAAATAGCGGCAATTTGGTGTAAAGCAATTGTTTGTTTTTAGTTCGTTTGAATTTTACTTCTTTTCCTCGCTTTCCTTCGCTTTTAAATAGCTTAAAAGCGCCATGCGCATTTTACTTTCACTTTCAAATTAGCAGCAGGTCGGCGTCAATTGCATGAAAGCAACAACAAAATACAACGTCAAACTCACTTTAGCCCATATATAAAACATTTTATTAAACAACTTAACAAAAATACAAATACACCATGCTATAGGGCAGGCTATGCCTAATATAAAATAACAAATAACTTACATAAAGTTTAAATAGGTATACAAAACTGGAAATAGGCCAAGTAAACATGTATAATATATAACCAAATAAATAAGAAACGTAGAATGTTTATTAGCAAAACGAGTAAGAAAGCTTGGAGGCACGGCATACACCTTGATGTCAAATAAAATAAATAAATGACAGTTTAAATCAAGTAAAAATCAGCAAACAATGTGTAATAAGCAACGAATGTTTAAAAAAAAAAAACTTCCAAAATCACCTTAGATAAACGGCAAAAGTCAACAGGCTTTTCAAAATCCAAAATATTGCCAAACAGGCGCTTTTGCATCTCGTTTCGAAACTAAATCATCCGCGATAGTCTTGTCTGTCTCACCCCACTCTTCTTGTCAGTCAGCTCGACTCACTCTCCTCACTGGAGAAATGAAATCTGATCTGTGATGCAACTGTCGTTCAACTGCATTGAGCAGCCGTGTTCAGTTTTTAATTGTTGTGTCTGTTCTTTTACTGAACGAAATGATTTGGTGGGCAAGTGACGTAACCGGTGTTGCAGCTTAACACCGGTATCACCGTCAGCACCGTCTATCGCGGCAAGTCTAATCTCAATGCAGCTAAGTTTAGTTCAATGAAGGTGTCTATGTTATCAAGTTAATCAATTATGAAATGCTATAAGAGCAACTCTACAGAAGACAATAGTGTCATTATTCAGCGCAAGTGATGTCAAGGCTAGCATGTCTGATCTGTTCTTTGCTCCCTATCCCGCAGGCCCAGGTTAAAAAATGTGGACCGCAGCAGTGCACAACATCTGGAAGTGACAGTGGGAGATCTGACGGTTATCATAACAGACTTTAAGGAGAAAAGTAAGCCCTCCTCCAGTTCGTCCTCCAGTGCAGCATCTGGAGACCACCACAGCCAGAGCGGATCCAACTCAGACAACACAGAGAAGGGGATCTCCAGATCCTCATCCCCGCGAGGGGAGGGTTCCTCACTCAACGGGGAATCTCACTAGGAACCCGTGGATTACAAACGTTACTTCCAGTCTCCTGCACCTAATATATCCATTTTAAACGAACAGACACAGGAGCGCGCTTATGTATGCCAAGACTTACCGAGACACAGACTTAACCCAGCAATATAAGCCATCTCTCACTACTACCACAGTTGTAGAATCTGAAACATAGGTTTTCACCACGATACACTCATCCTGGTTTGTTTCAGTGCCCAGTAGGTCAGCTTGAGATAAACTGTAGACTTTGTAAGCAATTTTGATGATTGAATTTTGACATTTTGACAATTTAAGTTCTATAGCATATGGTAGTATGAATCAGATAAGTGTTGTTGTCTGTTTGGATTTGGACTTTGACACCCATTCTCGTTCTCTTCACTATTGTTACAATTTCATAGACCTTTTTTTTTTTAAATCACAATCTGTAATTTCTGCAACAGCACCCATTACATCTCGGTAATTAGCCCTGGGGCTTAAAAACTTTCAACTGGAACATTGTTGTGAAAGTATTTGCTTCTACATTAATGACATGTCAGTTGCAAATTGTTACTTTAAAATACTTAAATGCATTACAGGATGAGCGTTAAGCCATCTATGAATAACTGACCCAAACAGGACTTCCTTTCTCAATTGTTTGTTGCACCTGCTGGTACTTTTTGTATGATTATATGAGAAAAGCCTTTAAACGCAGAAATTCATTGTTTAATTTGTTCTTGTTGTTTTATTTGAAACTTGTCATAGATTGCATCACTTGTGCGGCTAGTTGTTCTACCAGCACTGTTTTGTGTTAGATTGTCTTGATATAATTTTTATTCCACACGAAACAACATTTATGACTAAAAATGACAAATGTATTTGTAAGAATTCATCCCATCCTTTATGATGAATTTTCCAATATGTATTCCTGTAACTATTTTAAAGATACTACTACCAATTTAGTTACTAACTATTATTACACAAGCTTTCATTTTTACTAGTAATGATACTAAGAATTAATTTTAACTTTACTGTTCTGGCAATGATCTAGTTATAATGGCTATTAAATAATTCAGTTAAAAATCCTACTTGTAAGATTAAAAATGCATGATGTAACAATTGGGATTTGTTATTAAAACTTTTACATTGTGTGTCACATAATTCTGTAAAATTTTCTACCACTTTTACTAATAAATCCAACTACAAATATTATTGTTAATAATAAAACATTTAAGAAGTCCAATTGTTAACAATAATAATAAAAAATATATAAGTAACTAAAATATCTAGTAATAACTTGATTCTAGAGGAATCAACCTTACAGGGTTTGTCATAGTAGGGGTCTTTCTCACGCCACTGGGGGAAGAACTTGTGTATGTGGGGGGGTGGTGGTGGCGTTCAATAATAAGAAGCTTGAGACTCATTTTCGAATCGGTTCCTATGAACAGATCATTTTATACAACCGATACAGAGGTTCTTTAGGTAATTTCGTCATTATCTGTTTTTATAGTCTATGGTCATTATGTGGTCTGGGACAGCCTGGCATGTTTGCATGCCCTAAAAGGTTCCAGTAAAAACATATGTAGGCACATATTTCTTTATATGACGATATCAGGGTGTTAATTATAATTTCATGTAATCAAGTTGTTTATAGCAGCCAAGATTCAGCTCATAAATATTTAGTAAAAAATTTATTTATGTATAAAAAAAGTCCGTTTTGTTCAAACTGTCGTACAATCACATTTCTAAAAAAAATATTTAACACCTTAGTTATAACATTTTCGCTATTTGACAGAGTATTTTCCGTTGGGAAAGATCCTACTCAAAAGAACGATTCGTTCGCGAACCGGACATCGCTGGTGGTCATTAGTGGGCGAGTACACACACGGTGTACTCTTTTCAAGTGAAACAGTGTCCGTGTCCTGTAGAATGCGTGTATATCTTTCTACATTTAGTTTGTGCATAGCTATCGCTCTTCTGTCTTTAGTATTTTTGTTTAGTAAACATGATGCTGTAAGTTTTTCGGCCGGGTTTAAAGCGCCGCTGGAGCCGTCCGTCGTGAGGAACTTAAATGGAGTAAAAGCAAAACAACGACCCACCGCGACCACGCCACACAGACTCGCGTAAATCAGATTGGTTTCATTCATTTTGTTTAAAGACGATGTTTGTCTAGCGGAATTCACGCAAATAACTTTTTAACAATTTTGTTTGTTTGTTTAAAAAAAAAAAAAGATGTTTGAGTTTGCATAGTGTTTCTATCACAATACTGGGGAGAAATCGAAATGTGTCATTCAGTGTGTGTTCATACTGCAGCGATAGCCAATCGATCTATATATTGTTCACATAAGAGGTCAGATGTACAGGAAACGCCCAACACTCCTGAAATCCACATGAACGGGAAACGATGCACATGACAACAGCCTGCGTAATTCCACACTGACTCGAGAACTGTTTATGGAGGAAGGTGTTCAGATCTACCTGTACTGATTCATTGTCAAGGGAGAGCGCTGGCATGTCGAGAGCATTGTTGAGATGTTGAGCACAGTGATGCAACAAACTGCCAAATCACGCCTCTCTCACGCACACCTGTGTTTCAGATGGTAGGCTCAGATTACAGGCAAATGGGTGGTTTAGTCTTGGTCAATTTGGGTAATTAATTTAATATGAACTATATATATATATATACACACACACAGAACACTCTACTCTGCATTTACCTAATTAATCAAGGCTGATGATTTTTTGGCACATTCAATGGATATAGTACATTGTTTAAAAAATAAATATTTTTGAGACTTATGCGTTTTATGAACTATCATAACAAAAACATTAAATATATTTTAAGATATATTTATAAAATATATTTTATCTTGATTTTTTTTTTACATTAATTTTGATGTTTATTAAATGTTTTATTGCAAAACTTAAACTATAAAATATTTGCAAATAATTAGGGAATAGAAACGGCTCGTTTTGTTGGAGTAGTTGTGGTATTGTTTATTTATTAATCCATCATTTTATCAGCTCATATATGTTTTTCCCCCTCTGTTGTGATACCTATAAAATACATTTAGTAAACAAGTTAGTTTAAAAGATGAAATGTCTTAGTTTATCACATTTAGTTTAGATTATCACCTTTTTTACATTTTAAAACTTTCTTTCTATTTAATTTCGACGTGTATTGTCTAAATACATTTTTAAAAGAATTGCAAATTATTATAAAATAAAAACAGCTCATTTTCTGAACAGAGTTCCTTCTTGTCGCAGAGCATTTGTCAGAAAAGTTGTGGTCTTATTTACTCATTCATTCTTTTATCTTTTTTTTTTCTTTGTTGTGAGACCTATTAGATACATTTAATCAAACATTATAACAAAGTTAGTTTTAAACATCAAATATTATTTTTCTTTGTCTATCCTGTTACACCTTTAAAAAAATGTCCATTTAATTTTGATGTCTATTTAATGTTTATTGCAAACATGACTAAATTATTAGAAAATTAACTGCTCATTTAAAAATTAAACATTTTCTAAAGGATAAGCACCTCCTTTCACTGACTGTTTGTTGGAAAAGAAGTTGTAGTCTGTTTACTCATGGTGTTCAGTAAAACTAATATATTTACAGAGATGTTGCGCACAAGGTGAATTCACCTGGACAGCGAGAGCCGTTGATGCAGCTGGCTGTGGTGGCCTGTGGAGAGAGACACGGGGAAGCTGTCAACATGCTCAAGACCGCAGCCATGCTCAGCAGCCGAGCCTTGAGTTTTCACATCTTTGCAGAGGAGCAGTTACACACCAACATAAAAACAGCAGTCAGTATGAGCCAATTGTCATTTCTGACATCTATGCATGCAAATCTATGATGTTGCACAAGAATGAGCACATTTTCCCACTGTTAAAGGGGAAGCATGTCATTTTAAATGGTCATATATTTTCCCCATCCAAGAAGGCAAAAAGATTAGTTCACCCAAAACTGAAAGGTTACCCACCCTCAGAACATCCAAAATAAAGAGGAGTTTGTTTCTTCATCAGAACTGATTTGGTGAAATTTAGCATTATATCACTTATTTACAAACACACAGCTTTTTGATTCAACTAAATGTTAATTGATTGACTGTCGTGTGGATTATTGTGGTGTTTTTATCAGCTGTTTGGGCTCTCATTCTGACGGCACCCATTCACTGCAGAGGATCCACTGCTGAGCAAGTGAAGTAATGCTAAAATTCTCCAAATCTGTTCTGATGAAGAAACAAACTCATCTACATCTTGTATGGCCTGAAGATTACTACATTTTCAGCAAGTTTAAATTTTTGGGTGAACTATTCCTTTAATCTGCTACTGAACCATTGAGAAACTGTATAAAGAGATGAAAGATTTACACTTTTCCAATCCATTTTCCACTTATACAGCTGGATTCCTGGCCAGCTTTCATCCGAGCGAAATTCAGCTATGTTGTTCACGCCATTTCATTCCCCCATGAGAACCATGAAGAGTGGAGTCAGCTTTTCAAGCCATGTGCATCACAGAGACTCTTCTTACCGGTGAGTATTACTGCAGTTTAAAGCAATTTAAACAGCATATTTAGTTTATATCTAAAATATCTACAACTATTTTAGGCAAAAGCTGATTTTTTTGCCTTGATTGTGTCGTTTAAAATGTCTGAAAAGGTTACAGTGATTGCACTGGAAAATACTGTGCTGCTTTCCTTTTGTAAGATGTCAAATAATTCATATAATACTTTTCTGAAATGGCAATATAATTTTTCTGAAAGTAGAAAATGTATTTTGTACTCAAAAACACTGCAATTTAACAAACTATTTGCAATTCCTTTCTTTTCTCTACAGATGATTCTGAAGGAGGTGGACTCCTTACTCTATGTGGACACCGATGTCCTCTTCCTGCAGCCTGTAGAGCTGATCTGGGACATGTTGATGCACTTTAACTCCACACAGTTAGTAGCCATGGCACCAGAACACGAGGAGCTGCAGATTGCCTGGTATAGGCGCTTCTCCCGGCATCCGTATTATGGAAAAACTGGCATCAACTCTGGCGTCATGCTGATGAATTTGACTCGGATGCGAATGACACAATTCAAGGTGAGATTAGAGGGCCAGACCCCAAACATTCTTCCTTTATGTGAGGGTTGATGTACCTGGAGAGAGCTATTCCTATTCATCTCAATTGTAGGCACATGCAGAAGTGCTTAATCTGGATGCCGCCATCTTGTTTCATAGGCAAACATGATTTGGTCAAATCATGTGAGCTGTAAATGTCATGTGACATTGTATATTACTATATTAAAACACCTAGCAACAAAGAAAAAAAAACATTTAAAATAAAAAAATAAAATAATATAAAAAAAATAAAAAAAATAAAATTTCAAAACGAATAAAAAGATTTAATAGTAGTAGTAGTAAAATTTTTATAATAATAATATTTACCTAAGTAATATAAAGTAATATATTTTAAGTTTGGGCTTTTGGATTTTTAAAAATATTTTTGAAAGAAGACTCTTGTGCTCATCCAGTCTACATTTTTAATCAAAAATTCAATAAAAACAGTATTATTATGAAATATTATTACAATTTAAAATAACTTTTTTCTATTTTAATATATTTTTAAATCTAAATGATACCTGTGATGGAAAAGCTGCATTTCCAGCAGCCATTACTCCAGTCTTGAGTGTTACATGATCCTTCAGCAATAATTCTAATATGCTGATTTGGTACTCAAGAAACATTTCATATTATTTTCAATGTTGAAAACAGTACTTAGTTCTTTTTAAAAATTCATGCACTAGTAAAAAAATATTTATGACTCCATCTTAATGTTTTTTTTGAACATGTTGCAATTACATTTCAGTCCAGATGAGGGTGGTAAAGGCCTCTTTTTTATTGGCTTCTGCCTAGAGATCATTTCAAACTCTACTCCCCCCCCCCCCCCCCCCCCCCCCCCCCCCTCTCTTTATGGACAGAATGACATGACTTCTATTGGTCTGCACTGGGACGAGCTTCTGATGCCTCTGTTACAGAAATACAAGCTTAACATAACCTGGGGTGATCAAGATCTGATTAATATCATCTTCCATTACAATCCAGGTAAGCCTTTCTGGGTTGCGTTCATTCCTTATAGTTTTATTCCCGTTCAAGTCTCTGTAACAGATGTGCGTTTCCTCCAGAGATGGTATTTACCTTCCCTTGCCACTGGAACTACCGTCCTGACCACTGCATCTACGGCAGCAACTGCATCCCAGCAGAGAAAGAGGGTGTTTTCATGCTACATGGCAACAGAGGAGTGTTTCACAGCGACAAACAGCCTGCCTTCAAGGCCGTGTATGACGCTTTCAAACATGTGAGTTGTATTAGGGGAGTTTTGTTAGTTACTATTAGCTAAACTTTTAACACAACCCTTTTGTTTGTTTCCAACCAGTTTATGTCCATCCAAAGCTAACAAATCACTCTTTACTTTTATCTGGCAGTACACATTTGGAGAGGATCTCATAAAATCATTCTTGTTACCCCTGGAGGCGGCGCTGAACGGAACCACACACACATACTGTGGGAAAGTTAGTCATTTCTTTACCAGAGGACTTGGAAAGTCTGTAAGGAAGCTCCAGAGAATGACTCCAGCAGGTGGCTGAGCTGTGATGTTGTTGCTGAATAATGAAGAAATGTATTCTCTGAGACTGGATAGGAACGTCACTGCTCTTCCAGTCGAATCAGTGCAGTGTTAGTGCTGAACGTTCAGTTGGAACCCTCAGAGATATAGAATGGGTTAAATGATGAATGTGAATTTAAACTGATACTTCTCATTCTCAAGGTGCCATTTTCATTTCATTTTTTCCCCTAGTTAAAGGGACAGTCCAAAAAATTCATCCAAATGTCATTCCAAATCTGTATGAACAAATAAGTCAAACTGTTGTTACACGTACATAGCTATTGTATGACTTAAGTTGACTTAAGACAAAGACTTTAGTGCACAAATCGTATGGACTACTGTGACTGAATAGTGCTTTTTATAGTACTATTGAATGTACTGCAAGATTTGATAAATTGGGAAATACTTGAAAATGTAAATATTGTATTCGTTTTACATAATGTTCATATGAAATAAAAAATATATATCACTAATTAGAGTTTGTGACTATCACTTTCATTCCCCACTGAAGGATTACTGGAGTGATGAGGAAAAATATTAAAGGAATAGTTCACCTAAAAATTTAAATTAGCTGAAAATGTACTCACCCTCAGGTCACAGCACATGTAGATGAGTTGTTTCTTTATCAAAACAGATTTGGAGAAATGTAGCACTTGTTCACCAATAGATCCACTGCAGTGAAAGAGTGCGGTCAGATTGAGAATCCAAACAACTGATAAAAACATTACAATAATACACAAGTATAATATACAACAAGGCCGTAACCATGTCTTGAACATTGAGGGGGGACAGATTTTGGGGGTTGGGGACTTGTGCCCCTCAATGTCTATGGTGGTTACAGCCCTAATTAATCCACTCGACTCCAGTCCATCAATTTTCAGTGGTATGAAGTGAAAATCTGCGTGCAAGAAACAATTAATCATTACTACGTTTTTAACTTCAAACCATTGCTTCTAGCCAAAATATAAGTCTATAGTCCATAGAAATGCTTCCTCCAGTGAAAAAAAAGCTCATTAAAATTCATCTACAGGTGCATTTTTGAAAACCAACGTCACCTAGTTTTCTTTTAAAACTTACATTTGGCACTCCTAGTTTCTGCAAATAAAAAAGTAACTAAAATAATTACAACTAAAGAAATTGCATTTCATAATTCCAGTTGTTTTAGAAGCTGAAAGTTCTTCAGGGATCCCACTTTTTTATCAAACATTTACATTATTCTTCCAGTAGTTTGCAATTTACTTAAGGATTAAAAAAATTTAGTTTTACTCAATTTCTGCCTGATAGAATATTTTAGCGCTTGACACAGCTGGTAAAATATATATAAACATCTATGGCATTTTTAATTTACATGATATTAACAAGTCTAGAAATGATACTTTTAAAATTGGGCGACCTCAAATATCCACATTTTCAAAAACTGCGTGTAGGAGCTCTGGTTCTTCATAGGAAACACAGTGAAGAAAAATAAGAAATACCCTTTAGTTATTTTATCTTATTTTAATGCTTTTTTTGTCTTATTTTAAATTATTTTAAGTAATCTTGCAGCGTCTTTGAAAGTTTGCTGGGACCCCTTTGTTGAGAACAACCGCAAAATGAAAAAAGTAACAATACCAGTATTTGTAAATTTGTTGACAAATTTCTGCCTTGCCAAAGCGTGAATGTAAATACATTTAGTTACGTCTTAAGCTTTTTTTGAATGCAAACAGAAAAAAGTATACGACTTGACTTACATCATTGTGCCATCATTATGCTTACTTGTCATTAATATTAATTAAACAATAGCACTGAGAAGAAAGTCACTGCCAGTGTTTCCCAAAAGTGTCATAATCCTACGTAGATCATAGAAATCACTGGCACCAAAAAATTACTTTGGTGAAATGCAGCCCAGATCAGGTTGGAAGACCAGCAAACCAGCTTAAGATGCGTTAATAAGTAATTTTTTATTTTTTTGCAGTGGTATTATCTAGAGTTGTAAATATTCAGGGTTTGACAACAGTATCTGCATTTTTCATTGAAAAATCACTATCGTGGGACTACTGAACTTTCACTTCTTACTTCAAAAAATGTATCAGATTACTTTTCTTGTAACCAGAAACTAGCAGAATTCAAAACAAAAACAAATAAAGATTACAAGGACATTACAACACACAGCAGATCATAAGCACTGGTAAATTAGACTAACCGAGAGCCAAGTGGACACAATCAACATAGGGGAACAAGAAACAACCAACAATGAGCAGGAGACAAGCAAACGTCAAAATAAGACAAGACAAATCCCCCTGAATCTCTTACTGTAGAAAACACGCTGAAACCAAAAGAAATACATCAGCAATGAAGCCATTTCCTGCAATATATCTCACAAATGTCAGTATTCATCAGTATTCATTCTGCTACTGAATGTATGTGCTTATGTTGACCTGAATAGACATCTCTTCTCTCTTACTGTATGTGGAGCAAGAGACGCCTTCTGTCTCCCAAGTGAGCTAATTTACTCTCGAGTCCACTTCATTGTGTGCCATATCGATTCAGTTTGAACTCTTTTCCTTGATAAAGAAGCCCAGTGAGCTGGATGCAGATGTCTATGGGTTGAAATGGTAGGGAAATATTATTCAGGAAATGAGAGCAAAACCTGTCGGCTTCAAAGTGGCAAAACATGTCAGTCAGCTGCCCTTGCCCATAGGGCGATTCAAATAATTATTTAAGTGTATGTCAATGAAGAGATGGAGTGAGATTAAAAGTCTGCAATAAACCATTACATTTGTTATATTACACTAATGGAAATTATTTTTGTTGAAAAAGGAGAAGACGATTCCTTCAAGATACTAAGAGTGAATATTGGTGCTGTGGCTGGTATGGTACCTGAGCAGAGGAAAATACCAAGGACATCTTCAGGGAGACAGACACACTTTGATCGGAGTTAAAGCTGAGAGGCACTAGGTCTGACAGGTTATATAACTTTCGCTTTTGTGACATAGTTCCTGACTGACTGTGTGTTGAGGCTGGGAGAAAAGAAGAGGAAAGAAAGAGAAAAACTGACCTAATAAACATGATTAAAAATCCAAAATGTTTATGGGTAATGAATAAAAATGTGATGTTCACATCCTTGTTAAATTTTGGGACATATATGGTCATCATTCAAGTTTTCCACAATGTTCAATCACCTTTTTATAAGGGTGTAGTTTAATTTATAATCACTTCATTTAATGGAAAAAGCAAGACAAATATATAATATAATATAATATAATAAAACATAATATAATATAATAATTTGAAATTATCATCAAGTGAAACTGGAAAAATAATGATTGTTTTCAAACAAGTTTCCTGAACACTCCACCTTTCTAGCATTGGTGAAATGCAAAGTTATTTTGTGTGTGTGTGTGTGTGTGTGTGAGAGAGAGACCTGGTGTGACATATCATTTTTTATTATGCACAAATATTCCATATAATCACTCCATTATTATTAATAACTCACTTTTTAATTATTTTTAATTAAATGCTGTTTAAATTAAAATGAAATTGTTAAGTTTAAATTAAATGGTACAAAAGCCCTAAATGGTACATATTAGTAAATTTTTTGTTGGGTACTGGCCAAGTGACAGCTGTTGTAGAGTGAGGCATATCACATCGCAGACCACTCTGATCACCTTCCCAAACATCATCTACCCAACAGCTTTTCAAACCATTAAACCTTAAATGCACTTTGGTAAAAGCAACATCATTTAAACTCAGTAAAACGAATGGTGTTATGAACACAAAGTATAATCATGTCTGATTTCAGCTGTGGATCCATGTGAAGGTTCAAAAAGTGCTGTGCTTGCCAAAACGGCAAACATTCGTGTGATTCATAGGATCATTTAAAAGAAAAAAACCCACTGTAAATGTGCATGTGCTCCCATAGTGACTCGGACCCTTTCCATCTTCACGTTAGGCAAAGATAATTAAACTGTCACTTTTGTGTTTCAAAAACGCAGCAGTCACCACATTCCCCTAACATCGAGGAATATCTGTCATTTGCGATGGCTTTTGAGTGGTTCATTTCCTTTTATGAACCTTTGATTTGTGCGAAGATCCTTGTCAATAAAGCACCCCCTCCTCCACGCTCCTCCACATCACCGCTGATGTTGTCTCAAAATGAACATCTCCAATTAGACACAAGCAATCATTCATTTGATGACTTACGGTTTACATTCATTGTCGCAATCTGTGCGAATGTGTATGAGACAATTCATCGTACCTTGTGGGAAATCTAACTCTTAATCACTGTATGAGAATAATTACGCCTCTTATGCATTTATGCTGATAAACTCATAATTTGGCACCGGGAGCCTTGACTTCATCAAATTTAAGACAAGGCAGATTAAAAACAGATAAAACCGCAACCTGAATCATAAAAAACGGCCAGAATAATGAATTCACTGTCATTCAAAACACTGGAGTTAGCAGCTAGCATTAGCTTTGTATTTAGATCTTTTGTTCCTCAGTGCCATTGACTCAAGCACACAAACAATAACATGAGACTTGAGGAGATTTCTGTGTTTGTTTGTGCTGAGATTCAAAGCCTGAAAGGCTTGCATAGGCCTTTGTTTCCATACCGTGCACTACTATGCTTCCATCTCCCCCTCATTAAATTAGAAAGGAATAGAAAACAATTGAGCTATAATTGATAGGCCTCTCCGTTCGTTCTCCTCACAGACTCTCTTTATCAGCCACATAGTGACAAAAATCACAATGGCTGTTTTCTCTGCCACCTTTTCATTTCATTCAGGCTTGGACTGGTACCATTGTTCTGGCCTGGGCCTGATAAGGCACCGATAATGTTAACCAGTTATCGCATTTGCAGAAAAGAGAGCAAAATAAAAGACCCGAGACAGCCGGCGAATTAGCGACTTTGATGAATCGTCATTTTGAACACGAGAGATTAGCATACTGATTGGTCTGATTATTTGTAATTGCGGTTGGAATTGAAAGTGGGCCGCACCGGATAACACTCG